TGTTTACTTTAAATAGTTTTAATCTTATAACATGATACATCTACATATATTTATTTTTATTATATTGATCTTTCAACTATGCCGGGCTAACATTACAGAAGTTACAATGATGCAGTGGACATGCATTCATTTTACCACATCCAAGAATATAAAACTGGTCTTTACAAAGTAACTTGTCTTGGCTGTGTTTTAGTAGACTAGTATTTTATAAAATACAGTCACATTTCAATTATCATACATTATATATGTATATAGACTATTGCTATTTTTAAATAAGTTCTTAAACATTTTTTTCTTAAAACATAGAACAGTAAATAAAGAAGTAAAGCAAACAATTATCTCTTCTAGTTACGACCTTTGTACTTGTTGCTGCTTGACGTAGGTTGCTAAGCCTTTAAAAATTTTGACATGGAGGATATGAAACGAAATATTTTTTTAGGTTTTATATATATACATTTGAATAATAAAAAAATCATAAATTACTACATCAATACCACAGAATTCTACTATAATTTATCAAACTTAGTAAACTTAGTAACTAAGCTTTATTTGGGTGTAAAAAAATCTGAAGTTTTGAGCAGACTAAAGACACAGCCTACTTCATTGAAATCTTGGTTCAAAAGAAAGAAATGGTGCTAGGTGCATTAGAAAGACTGAGAAAACCACTAGGGGGACATTCTGAGCTTCCGTTTGGTTATTCATGTCATTTATAGAAGGAAGTGTATATAAGGGAGCGTTTCCAAAAATAGAAAGAGGTGAGCAGGGTGCTAATGTGTTTGATTTATTACGTGAGCAATATCTTAGCAAATAGAAAAGATAAAGCCTTCTTATTTTATATTCTAGCTTGTCAATATCTGTAATTTTAGTTTCTATTTCGTATGAAACTATAGACTTAGTATTTTGACTTCACAAACATCTAATTTGAACCAGTGCTGCATTCAACATACCACGTGACACACAAAAATCAATGTTTAACTGTGATTTTAATACTTACTTTTAAATCAAAAAATGTAGTAATGTATAATACTAAAATTTAAATTATAATCTACAGTTTGATACCAAACTTATTGACATAAATTCATGAAATAGTAGTTCATGCTAACATCATTTTTAACTTCTGCAGTTGAAGGGTTAAGTATGTTTCATGTGTTTTTGATGATATTTCACTTTTATTTTCCCTTCTCTCTTGTATGGTAATAATGATGATAATAATGTAGATGTGTTTATGAACTTGTTTCAGAATTTATTCCCTGTTCAAATACATTATTTTCTGATTCTTTTATTTCATTAGACAAGTTAGCCTGTAAGACTTCTAACTAAAACATCTGCAATATTTATATTACTTTATAAAAGCTGATAGTTTATTTTATATCATGCACTATCATAAAACAATACTTTTAATTTTCAGTTTTTAGTATTTGTAATTTATTCCTCTTCAAAACCAACTTTGTCTTGATGAAAATATTTGGAAACCCACAACATAATTCTAAGCATGTCATATCTAAGCCACCCTCAAAAACTTGCGACATCAGTGATAGGGGACAACAGTGGTGCCATTCTATAGCTACAATGCTAGTCTATAGGAGTATAAATATCTGGCCATGGCAATGGGAGTTCAAAACATACACAGTGTTTTGTGGTGAAAATTTTTGTAGTTTTACATTTTCCTTATTAATCATGTGTTTATTCTGTTCCTTTTCAGCTTATTTTATCTGAATATTGTTTTATTGTTAGTTTCATTGCTGTGGTGTGGATAACTACACTGACTGGTTTGAAACTAGCTGGTCAGGGAAGACTCGGTCTGTTCCAGTCAGCTGTTGTAAGACTGAAAAGAACTGTAAGAACAAGCCTTTGACTGTTGTTACAGACATCTTTCAGCAGGTATGTTGGTTTACAATGTTAATTTCGACCATGTATTCCATCCTTCATTTTAAGCATGTTTATATTAAAACTTTATTTTGTAAAAGTTGGATTAATAGTTAATTTTAGGAACGTTATACTTGAGGTATATAAATGTGAAAACAAATAAACTTGTATTAAAACTTCCTGAAATATTAATTTTTTAACTTAATCTCATACTTTACTGTAGTAGATTATCATCATTCATGTATTGTTTATAATTTTTTTTATTACAATGTTAATTTGCTTGTCTTAAAAAGTTTAGTTAGTTGTGATATTTTATATTTTGTAAGAATTTGATTTTCTAATTTTAAATAATGAGAAACCACTCCCCTCTATAGAACAGATAGCTAATAACTTGTGCTACTGATGAAAAATGTTCTTACTCTTATGCCAAGGGTTTTTAACAAGACTCCCACCTTACACGTAATAATGTGTACTGTGTGCTAGTTTGTACTGCAATCATTGTTAGACTGTACCCCTCGACCAGTAGAAGGGCAACACATTCTCCATGTGCAGTACTCCCTTTCAACACTTTTTGTTTACCTAAAGCTCACTCTCTTCCTTGGCATTGCATTCTTTTTTCATTAAGAATTATGGAATTTTTATGCTCCTTATTTTAAACTTTTGTTAAAATTCAGTTTTATCTTTCTTGATTTTGAGAAAGGCAACATTTTTTTAAATTGATTTCAGTTAGAGCTTCTAATATGAACTAATCTTTTTACAGTAATTTGATTTATTTTCGTAATGAAACTGAGATTTTTGGGACACATTTTCTTGAATCTGTGATATAGTTTTTTTGACAAAAACATTTTACATCCCCATTAATCCAGTGTTTTGATATTTAATCTCACTTGTCCTCTTTACCCTTTCCTTCTAAGACTACATCTATACACCAACAGCTTTATTTGGGAAGGTCACACTAATCTGTTCCTCATGCTGCTACATTTTATTTTTCACCTATTGTCCATTTCACTTTCTTTGTGTGTGGGATTTGTTTCATCAGGATGCCTTATCTTCTGGAGTAGACTCCCTCAGTTTTATCTAGGAAAAATCCACCTGATATTTTCCCATCATGCAGACTTTTTTCATAGAAGTTCCTCATCTTGTGGACTTATCATGATGTTCCCCTCTGAAAATCCAGCCATCATGGGCTTCAGTAATTAGTTGTTTCTGGAACCATCCCTCAGATTTGAGAGCTTGGATCTTATGCTTTGTCCACCTGTGGACTTGCTTTGCAGAAAACCCTTGGGTTATGCAGGTTTTCTCTCGGGAGCTTTTTTGTCTGTCAGCACTCGCACCTATGTTTTCAGCTAAGTTCTAAGGGCTTTTACATGGAGAGTTCACTCTTTGGGTCTGCATTTCTAATACTAATTGGACATTTGGCATCTAGCCCTGTCCTTGGAGTCATCATCTGCTACAACTTCCCTTCTCCTTCGAGTATGGTTATTTGGATTCCTTGAGTGGTCAGACTCCCTAAGTCATTGTTGACTCCCATTTTCTATATGATTCAATTGGGAGTCTTTATCATCTTGTTTCCAAAGTGGGCTCAATCATTATCATTTACATTTATGAAATATAGAGCTTCTGGTTTTTAAGGTTCTCATGTCACCTTTTCTTCCATTGCATGAGGTTCTCTGTCATCATTTCTCATGTCCTTTTGTGCCCCCTTCAGTGGGTTCTGTCAAGTAAGTTACAATTGTCTGAACATCCTGTTTTATCGTGTTTCAATAATTTCACTGTCGTTTTCAAATGAGACCCAAAACTTGAGTGTTTTTGAATAGTTCACTATTCTTCTTCAGGAGAATATTTATAACTATTCAAAAGCACTTGAGTTTTGGGTCTCGTTTGAAAACCATTACAACTTTTGTATGTGATTCTGTGTGCTAATTTCTCAATCAGAATTCACTGTCATTTCTTACATCAACTAACAGGGAGGTACTTGCTTTTTGGACCTCTGCTCATGGCGACAACATCTGGTTGTTAGGCCTTCCACATTCTGAGAATTTTTAACTTGTTGGCAGATTGGTTGTCTCACCCTTATCAACTCCGTCCAACAGAGTGGTCTATACATTTGGAATTTCTATGGATTTATTCCCATTTTGAGAGTCCTCTTTTTGGTGCATTTGGAACTCCTTTACACCAAACTGCCACTTTTTTGATCACCAGTCCCACACTCCATGGACCTAATAATATTCCTTCTGAGCCTGGATTGGCCCACTACTTTTTGTATGCCTATCTTCTTTATTAACTTCTTAGGAGGAAGCTGTCTTTAATTTACAGCACCTCTTGCCAGATTATTCCAATTGCCATTTTGAAATGACTCGTTTGTGAGTTTAGCTTCTTTGGTGTACCTGTAGCCTTTATCTCTTCCTTCTTTTTATCTCATGCTCAACACTTTTATGTGACTTTTGTCCTGTCCCTTGCAAGATAGGCAGGTTTTTTTAAGCAGAATAGCCTGTTCCCTTGATTGCTTGGTTGGCCATCAACCCTTGCAATTTATCTTTGGTGTACCTGTGGCCTTTATCTCTTCCTTCTTTTTATCTGATGCTCAACACTTTTATGTGACTTTTGTCCTGTCCCTTGCAAGATAGGCAGGTTTTTTTAAGCAGAATAGCCTGTTCCCTTGATTGCTTGGTTGGCCATCAACCCTTGCAATTTATCACTGCAAATGGATGATTTATCAATGCTGGTCCATTTGCCACAACCTTCTTCCCCTCAGGTTGTCCTAATGCCTCATCTAACCTTATTTTTTTATCTGTTTAATTACTGTTTATCTTTTCCTTGGCCATTCTCGTTTTCTTTCTTATGTTCGTACTGTCTCTTAGAGCCTTTTTAATCAGTTGTCCTCTTCATTTGGTTCCTTTACTGGAGTGGAATCTGTTGAGTTCTTAGGGCTTTTAAATGTCCTCCAGTCAAACATTTGGCCATCTGTTCCCTGTACCATAATTCTTTTAAGACATTTTTTCTTCTTCCTTTTGGGTGATGTCACTCTGATAATTGTGTCTGGATACACCTTGCACTCTTTACCATAGGGACATGTTGATTTTATCCCCAGACCAATCCTTTCTTCCAAAGCCTTGGGAGGGTTATAGTCCACACACTGATATTCTCCCCTATGTGAATTCTTCCCTCCTGTTATATCCTAGTGAAATAGAGGTACCCTTTCTTCCACAGTACTAAGCCACTGGGAAGGTTGATATAAAAAGTTCCTCTTTTGGTTGGTGTAAACCCACTGACATGATACTGAATGGATACACCCCTCAATCAGAAGTAGGGCAGGGGGTGTTTATTTGATAGTGTAGTACAAGCCACTCTCCTACATTAAGAACTGGACCATTCCTGGTAGTCATGACCAGCTGGATAGGTCTTGAATTCTCCTTAGGAGGCAGACCTGTGATGATTCATCTCTACACCTGCTTATTCTGGAAGGTAGTTCCCATAAGTATTTTTAACATACTGTACAGTTGACTTTTGTCCCAGCTTTATTATGCATGTAGTCTTCCAATCCTCTGAAATATACAGGCCAGTTGAACAGCCTTTACATTATGTCCACCTTTGTGATGCTTTAGTGCCACAAAGGAGGTTCTTTTGACTGTACCTTTTTGCACCACCACTTATATTGGATAAGGAGTATTCCATGCATGAGATGGATGTGGTTTCCTACCAAGTGATGCTCCACTAGGCCCTCTCACCACTGGGTGACACACTCCATGAGTTTTTTTTTTCTGTCACTGTATTCTCAGAAAGGAGTTCATCTTTAAAATTTCTTTATCTACACGTTCTTCTCAATATGGGATCCTAGCTATTTGATCTGTAGAGAGATAAGCTTTTCTGAAGGTAATTTTTTCCTTATCTGAAAATATATTTCAAGTATACTCATCTTTAGATAGAACTGCTCATCCTATTCTCCAACTTTCAGTGTGTCTTTGTCAAGAATGAGCTTTTGATATGCACAGTGTTCAAGGGGAGTAATCTATCTAAAGTATATTAATACATTATATACCTTGTATAGCAAGATAATTTATTTGAGTGGGATGTAATACATTAAAAAGTAAAGAAGTAAGGCTTGTTTCATAAAATGAGTGTGAAAACTAAGAAATGTGTATGTCTCGGCACACACACACACCTGTGTGAATAATTCATTTATGTAAGGTACTATATTGAGGTTTTATTTGTGTTCATACTGCATGTATATCCATTTTAAATACTTTACCCTGGTAATCATATTTTTAGTTATTCTATACTGCATGCAAAACATTATTGTGGAAAGGTTTTATGGTTAAAAGCTTCTTATACAGATATATTGAAAAACATTTCACATGTGTGTATGATGATGATGATAACTATTTAATTAAATTTCTAACTACCCGGTAAAATACTTCTTAATAAATAGTACTTCCTTCCTCTATTATGAGTAATGGTGACTAGATGCTTTATTTATGGTTCAAAACATCACAAAAAAAATACTAAATAAAAGCAAATAAGTTGTACAATGCATTAGCATTTTGTATGAGGATCCTTTGTTTTACACTGAACAGCACACCTTGTTTTTTATGTATTATTGTGGAATATTGACGCAATCATCCAGTACTATTTCCATTTATTCAACAATTCAGTTTTGTATAAATCACAAATACACTTTGCTGAAATGCATCCCTAAATTTGTACTGATCTCTACCATGCTATACAGAAGATGTACATTGTCAGTGATACCGTTTTTCTCTCTTTGTTGTTAAACAAGCTGTCATTAATTGTTGCCAAGCAATTTACACTTGGATTATTTGTAAATAGCTCACACCTCTAGCCTTTCTCATTCCACTGTTTGTGGTGGTATGCCAATTTCAACCATTTGGTTTGGTTACCTCTTCTCAGCAGTGGTTTTCAAGCACTACAAGTTCACTGAGACAACTTCATGCTGATGTGCATCTTACTGTTCTCAAGGTAACATTAACACCCACACTTACAGCAAAGTAATTGGCAAGATCTGAAATTGACCATCATCTATATCATAAAAACATGTCCTGAGATACTTAACAACATTTATAAAGTTTCAGTTTTCTATTTTAATCATATCTTGTTAGCAAAGCCTTGTATACAGCAACATGGAGTCAGTCTTGCCACAATTGTTTTACTTGGTGGACCCTTGATCAATATAAACTTTTATTTACACATGTTTTCCATGCAGCATTTCAGTCCTGGGAGTCAAGACTAGAAATACTCTACTACTATTTGGCAGAGAATTATTGCTTCTGCTTTTATAGGCTTTATACTTCCTGATTATTTTGATAGTTAAGGATAAACTACCAACACATAACTGTATTCTGGTGCAATTCATTTTCACATAGTAAAGGGGGTGGCATTCCTGTAGTACTTGCTTTTTATATCCTCACCTCTTCCATGATTATTTTCATTATTGTTTCTATTTATACGTATCTTAAGAATATGTAAGTGTACATACACACACATAATACGGAGACATATTTAGCAAAGAAATTTTGTAATTTCGTTTTATTGCAAGAGAGAGAGAGAGAGAGCTAAAATAGTGTACTTACAAAACATAATTAGCAAATATAACAGATTTTAGTAAATAACTTTATTTTTTA